TTTGGATTTTGATCTTTTGATTTGCAAGAAAATCTTGAGGATTATATGATTAGTTGATTCTCATATCGAGATTACTTGGCACCTGGCACCTTGTACATAGACATCCTACCGCCTATCCATTTCCTTTTTTGTTTTTTTGAAAAGAAAAGTAATGTACTACACACAACAGGGGGTAGTACGTCCCCAAAAATCCGCAAAACAAATAAGAAGAAGGGAAGGGGGGAAAGAAGGAGATACAATAGTCTAGGGAAGGGGAAGAAGAAGAAAGAGCTTCACAAGCAAGCCAATCTACCGCCTGGTTAACTTCTCTAAAAATGTGCTGGTACCGAAGACCTCCCTCAAAAAGAACTCTCCTCCTCAAGCAGCTAGAGATGACACCTTTCAAATTCCATAGAACTTCCACCTTTTTGTTGAGGCACGAAATGATCAAGAATGAATCGCCCTCGATTATAATAGGATACTCCCTGCAATTTGTTGCTTGAATATGGGTTTCCCATGCAGCCCATGCTTTTGCTTAGTTGATGATACAAGTGCCAAGTTTATATGCTTTAACCGCTAGCACTTGACTAATATGGTCACAAACAATACTGGCCACAAAACATTTCCCATCACTGTTATGAGAGGCATCAAAATTTATTTTAATAGTGCCAAATTTTGGAGCACTCCAAATAATTGGTTTCCACACTTTGTCAATTTGGGCAATGTCTATATCTTTACTCCCATCAAGAATCTTCATAAACATATCAAGAGCCCGTTCCATAATGATTAGAATGGGAGTTGAAACATTATTGAAAGTTTTCGAGTTCCTATTTTTCCAAACAGCCTAAAGGACAAAAGCTAGTTTTTTCTTTACTAAAAGAATCTTGTTTTCCATTTTATTGCTGACTCTTGTCCACCAATCACTTAAATTTTCATTCTCATTTGGGCCCTCTAGGGGAGTGTTTAAGGAGTTCAAATCAGCCCCTCACAAGACTACCCCTCACAATGTCCCACAACACATCCCCGCTGTGTATGGGAACATCTCCCGATGATAATACCGGGAATGATGATGTCATCATCATGAGGTTCTCCTAATACACAGTGGGGATGTGCTATGGGACCTTGTGGGGAACTGATTCAGTCTTGTGTTTAAAGTAAGCTAAATTTGCTTTGTGTGGGCACAATTCTTAAAAATATGATCAGTATCCTCCTCATCCCCACAAAAACAACAAGAGCCATCGATGTTATAGCCTCTTTCCTTAGATGACTTTTAGTAGGAATCTATTGTTAAGAAGGAAAAAGAAAAAAAAAAAGTCTTTATCTATGAGGGGCATTTGATGTTCCAAATATTAGCTAGCCAATTAAAGGTACCATTTGGTTTAAGAATAGAAGAGCACTTCAACAAATAAGTCATTTTTAAAGAGAAAATTCCCTTAGGGTTGTGCCTCCAAATAAATTTGTCCTCTATAGAGTTAGGATCAATAAAACTTGTGTTAATCTCCTGCCAAACTTGGTTAGAGACCTTGGCCTTTATTTTGTCCTCATTCTAGCATTCTCTTCCAAGATCAATCATGTCCCAGACTTTAATGTTTTGATTTGTCGTAGTCTCATAGTTAATGGTTTCAACTAGAGGTCTATCATATACCCAATTATCATGCCAAAAGCTAATAGACCTCCCATTTCCTACTTGCCAACGAGTGCCTTTCTTATTGAGATCTCTGGCTAGGAGAATAATCCTCCAGGTTTAAGAGATTCTTTTTTTACTTTTGCAATTCAGGAAAATTTCCCTCCTCATATATTTGCTCTTGATAACTTTCACGCATAGGTTGTCCTCCTCATTTAAGATCCTCTACCCTAACTTCTAGGTTGGCCTCATTAACCCGGTGGAGCTTTCTTATTTCCATGCCACCCCACCTTTTAGGGGTGCACGTTTTTTCCCAATTCAATAGATGAAGAGATTTCTTCCCATTTGAATTATCCCATAGAAAATTCCTTTGAATCTTATCCAATTCATCTATAGAATTTTTTGGGATTTTAAAAGAACTCATTACATATTGTGGCATCATGTTAGTTGGAGAATTTATAATGGTTAATCTGCCTACTATTGGTAGAGAATGTTTTTTCCAATTTACTAGTTTTTGAACCATTTTCTCTTTGATTTTTGCAAATGTACTCTTTGTAACCCTTTCAGTGATTAAGGGAGCCTCTAGGTAGGATTTGGAGTTAGCCTCCAATGGGATTTTGAGCATTTTGGAGAGCATCTTTTGAAACCTATGAGGCACATTCTTTGAAAAAAGAACAAAAAATGTATTGAAATTTGGGCATTGGCCTAAGGCCTTTGCATAATTTGATAAGATTTCTTTAATCTTCAAGTAGGCTAGGATAGTAGTATTTGCAAATATAAAACAGTCATCCGCAAATTGCAAGATGGGGATCTTTGGTCCCCCTCTTGAATTTTTATAGCCAATATGTTTTTCACTATCCATTGCTTCTTTTTCTAATTTCTTGGACAATGCTTCTCCATAGAGAACAAAAATACAAGGAGATAGAGGGTCTCCTTGTCTAATAGCTCTACTTGGTTTAAATTCATTTGTTGGACTCCCATTAACTAAAATTTTATAGGAAGCAGTTCTGATATATTCCATGACCCAAGAAATCCATTTTTCATGAAAACCAAATTTTTTCAGCACTTTCTTGATAAAGTCTCATTCCAATTTATCATAAACCTTATCCATATCAATTTTATAGGCCATTATCCCTGAGCTTCCTTTTTTCTTCTTCATAGTATGAATCATCTCATATGCAATTAGGATATTATCATTTATTTGCTGGATTGGGCACAAAGGCACTCTGATATAGGGAGGTGATATTGTCCGGGAGATGTTTAATCCTATTTACAAGGATTTTATTAATGATTTTATAAATGACATTACACAAATTAATTGGCTTGTAATCATTTATAGTTGTTGGGTTCTTCTTTTTTGGGATGAGGGTGATAAAAGTCTGGGTCAAAATCATACACAACTTTCCACCGTCAAAGAAAGCTTTAACCGCATTACACACTAAATCCCCTATAATATTCCATTTTTTTTAAAGTAATACATTAAGGACATCCAGGCTAGGAGCCTTGAGATCTTTCATAGACTATCATTAGTAACATCTCTAGATATTTGAACATTTGCTCTTCAGTGATGCATCGATCAATTTATAAAGTTATCAACTCTATAAGTGCCTACATATTTAAACCTGTGGATGAATTTTTCTGTGAAGTGATTTAAAATACCTGAACACTCGGTGATCCATTCCCCCACATCAATTTTAACTTTTATAATTCTATTTCGATATTTCCTAATAGTAGCCATTGTATGGAAGCAATTGTTTCTATCTCCCAATTTGATCCAATCAATTCGTGTTCTTTGCGCCCAATAGGCCTTTCTCTTTCCAACAATTTATCACATTGTTTTTGGAGCGCATTTTCTAGATTTTGAAGGGTAATATTACTTGGGTCATCCAAAATGTTTTTTTGAACTTGATTCAATATATTTATTAGATTTTTCTTTTTTCAAAAGTGTCTCCAAATTGGGAATTGCTCCATTTTCTTAACTCTTTGGCTAGGTTGTTTCTCTTTTATCGAGTTCGTTAGATATGACTAAACCTGTTCATGGGCCGGGCTCGGGCCGGGCTTTTACTATGTATTAACAAATTTTTTTAAGGCCCGAGCTCGAGCCCGGCCCGACCATCGGGCCTACAATTTGGGCCCGAGCCCAGCCCTCATAAAAAGCCCGAAGCCCGAGCCTGGGCCCGGGCCCGGGCCCGAAATTTAGCCTATATTATTATTATTATTATTAATGTTGAAGCAGCTGAATAAAGAGAGAGATAGATTGAAATTATAAAGAAAAGAATAAAAAAAAAATATATATATATATATAAAATTATAAATATATATTTTAATAAATATTATATTATTTATATATTTTATATAATATATAAAATACATATTATATATTTTATAAAATATATAATACTGAGTCGGCCGGGCTTTTTTGACAAATCCCGAGCCCAGCTCGAAACACAGTCGGGCTTACTGTGTTACGCCTGATGTCAGGCCCGCGGGTCTAATTATATGACCATGCCCGGCCGGGGTGCGGGCCGGGCCGGGCCGTCGGGCTACCCGGCCCATGAACAGGTCTAGATATGACGGAGATGAATGCAAGCGGAGAATTAGCAAGTGATTATGGGGGTATTTTTGGGTTAGTTAGGTTTTAAAAGAAAATGGTAAGAAAAAGAAAATAAAAAAGTTTAATGGGATATTTTAGTAATTTAACACTTTTTGTTTATCTGATTTAATGACTGAGGGTTGATTGTCATAACCCAAAAGTTCAAAGGAGTGTTTGTGACAGAAAAAAAAATGCAGGGGGTCTTTGTCACAGACCCCATAGTACGGGGGACTGTGTAATTACCCAAAATAAAATCGATTTTTTCAAAAAAAAAAATTGATAGACGAATCTAGAGCACCAATTGTGAAAGACAGAAATATCCTTCAAGTTTATCGTCTTTCTGTATATTGATTTTTGCCTGTACGTTGTCGACGAGTGTATAGTCTGTAGGCTGTAGAGTGTAGGGTATACAATATGTGAGCAGGGATCTGCTACAAATAAAACGTGTACAAGGGGCTACGTAATTCAAGTACATGCAAACACGTCAGTGAACCGTGCAGTTACAAGATGCACGGTTCATGACGTGTTTGTTATTGATTGGATTTCGTAGCCTCATATAAATTCCTTTGTATACAACCGTTGGAAGGATGGTTTCGTTGGATGCCAGGCTGCCTTGTGGGCTACAAGGAGATGATTAGCAAGTCACATGGTCTCGCTGTGCATGGGCCCACCATAATATCTGTTTTTTTTTTTTTTTCTTTTTTGGGTAAACTATCTCTATCTCATGTATTTTTGCTTCTTAAATAATTTATTAATTTATTAATACTTTAATTTTAGAGAAGAGACCTAGGTCTTATCCATAAATTCTCCTCCTCTCTGCCTTCGTCCCCAACCTTGTGTTCTCCCGAGTCTCACTAGTGAAGGAAGAAGAGCAGGCTGAGAGAACAAGTCTCAGAAACAGAGCCCCCGAGTTCTAGAGAGAGAGAGAGAGAGAGAGAAAGAGAGGAAAGAGAGGAAAGAGAGGAGACTTACAAGATGTCGAAGGAAGTGAGCGAAGAAGGACACCCCCAACATAGAAAGGACTACGTAGACCCTCCACCAGCTCCTCTCCTCGACTTCGGTGAGTTGAAGCTCTGGTCCTTCTACAGAGCCTTAATCGCCGAGTTCGTCGCTACCCTTCTTTTCCTATATGTCACAGTAGCCACTGTCATCGGCCACTCGAAGCAGGGTGATGCCTGCTCCGGCGTTGGCCTTCTGGGTATCGCCTGGGCTTTCGGTGGCATGATCTTCATTCTTGTTTACTGCACAGCCGGAATCTCAGGTTCGAGTTTCGAACTTCTTTGTTTTCCTTTTCCAGTTTCCCCCGGGCTCTCTTCCCGTCTTCCATGGCTTCTTAAACTTGCTTCACTTGTGAAAAACAGGTGGTCACATCAACCCGGCTGTGACGTTTGGTCTTTTCTTGGCGCGTAAGGTCTCGCTGATCCGAGCTGTGGCTTACATGGTTGCTCAGTGTTTGGGAGCCATTTGCGGAGTTGGATTGGTGAAGGCCTTCATGAAACACTCCTACAACCGCTATGGAGGTGGTGCTAACTCAGTTTCCGCTGGATACTCCAAAGGAACTGCCCTGGGAGCTGAGATTATCGGCACTTTCTTGCTTGTTTACACCGTCTTCTCGGCTACAGATCCCAAGAGGAAAACACGCGACTCCCATGTCCCCGTACGTATATCTGCAATTACTACTAAACCTTTCATCAGCTATCAATCCGTCACTCGATCGCCATGTTTGTGAAGTGAAAGATTTATCAGACAAGCCGGATTGATTCTGTGTATTCTAATTTTCTGGGTGTTACAGGTGTTGGCTCCTCTGCCCATCGGGTTCGCTGTTTTCATGGTACATTTGGCTACCATTCCGATCACCGGCACCGGTATCAACCCGGCCAGAAGCTTTGGAGCGGCCGTCATTTACAACGGCGACAAGGCCTGGGACGACCACGTAAGTTTATTTAACTTTCTCTTGAAAAATTTAATATATGAATATATCATCTCGTTTGAGTTAATTTCTGGTCCGATCAAATTGATGGGTGGCTATATATTGTCGTGATGAACAGTGGATTTTCTGGGTCGGCCCCTTCATCGGAGCACTCGCTGCAGCTGCTTACCACCAATACATTCTGCGAGCGGCAGCTATCAAGGCGCTGGGTTCGTTCCGTAGCAACCCCAGTAACTAGTCATCATCTATTTGTCCGATCCTCCTCCTCCGGCTTCCCTTTCCGCTTGTTTGTTTGTCTAATTGTTTGTGTGTAAGAGAGGATGAGTTTTTATTTTTATTTATTTTTTTACATTATTTTCTTTTGTTTTTTTTCTCATTTAGTTATGCTTTTCTTTTTTTTTTTCGCTTTGGGAGGAGAATCTACTGTGTAACATCGATGTATTAGTGCTTGCAATCGTAGTGGGTGGGGTCTCCTTTTTTTTCATCCTTTTCATCATCTCTGTAGTCTCTATTTCTTTCTCACAAAATGCATTCTTTTCTGGAGTCATCTCCCTTTTCTGCTTCTCTTTTTTTTTTTTTTTTTTCTCTATCGTGCACGAAGATCAATACCAAGTGATTGAGGTATGGGGGGGAAGGAGGGAGGTAATTTGGGTTAAGAAAAGGATGAAACTTTGTTGGATTGAATCTGTAGGAGGACAAAATAGGCCGACAATGATGTGACTACGCCCGTATACGTGGCTTTAATTTCCTCTGTCTGTGGGTTAGTGGTGTGGTCCTGGTCCAGGGACCAGAGCCAAGTGTGGCCCTGCATTCAAGGGCTAGGGCTACGTACGATGAGTTTAGATTTAATGGTTCAATATATTTTTCTTGGACTGGATTGGACCTGGTCCATCCGTTTATATTGGATTGGATTGAGTTAATACCCCGGTCTGGTGATAGAAGATAAGAACAGATTTGCATTGGCACTTAATACCGTTTTGATAAGTCTTTTTTGAAGATTTTTTGTAAGATCTTCAAAACGTAATAAACTTTTGTATGACAATTTAGATAGTCCAAAATTTGTTTGGTTGGAGATGTCTTTCCGTGTCGAGATAAAATAAAAAAAAAGTGAAACTTTATTTCTAGCTTTCTAAAATAAGTGTTTTTTCGCATCTATTGTTGAAAAAAGTGAAAAAAAAATCTTTTTTCAATCAAATGAAAAAAAAGCAAATTAGTAGAATTCTTAAAAACTGACAGCCCAGGTAGAAAAATACACCAAAAGAGACCTAAATGGTTCAAACATTGAATTAGACCAGACTGGTCCAAGACATTATTTAGACGAAATCTGATTCAATTGACAGCCCTCATCAAGCTCGAGCCTCAAGGTGGTTTGTTTTGTTAGTCTCTCGCTCTTGAAATTTCTGCTGCCAGGAAAGAAAGAAAGGTGGACTGCTCAGTCACCTTTTAGGAGTGAAAAAAGGAAGCTGAAGAGGAGGTGATGGTGGTGGTGGGACAGCGTGGATAGAATGGGTGGATTCATGAATCACGAATCGAGTTTGATCACATGGGGTCAGTCCTTTGCAAATTGCAACAACTCTGCCTCTTCTCAACTCATCAAAGACCGTGCTTGAAAAAGGAAGGATTTAAAGCTTTCATGAAATCACAACTTTTTCGAATAAACCACGCCAGCCGGCCGGAGGAGTTTTATGTTTTATCAACTTGCCAAAATCCGATCGCTTTTCCGATGTCCGCTCAGTTGGGGCAATTGCTTTTAATCAGTGTTGTAAGTTTGTAACCTACGGTACAGCAAAGCAAACAGGCTGTAAATAGAAGAGGAAAGAGTTGCAGTAAACAACGAAATGATGCTAACTCTGTTATGGAACCGCCAATCGATGACTCCTGCTGCTGTCTGATACTGATAGGACTCGATAGGACTCCCCGTGTTTATTTTCTGTCCTTTTTCATCCTGAAGACCGGAGGAAAAAGCAAAAGCCGAGATTCAATGCAAACTGCAAAGCGTGGCTGGGTCTGACAGCTGGTATGTGGGGAACACGTGGACCGCTCAGGCGGTTTAAACTTTTAAACCACTCCCTAGCCGTCTGATTTTTGTTAACCACTTGGGGCCTCGTCAGATTCAGCCTTATAACCAATTCAGTAATCAGAATGTCAGGAACAAAATCTGGTTCATGTTCAGAAAATGAATGAATGTGAAAAAAAAAATGCCAATGAAAAAATTAGAAAGGATAGGATTTGCATTTGGTAGTAATAACTGAGTTGTTTCAATTAAAATTAAGTGATTTCTTAAAAGAGTGGAAATAGTAAGATGATTTAAGTATTAATAACTTATATATGATTTTAAATAAAAATTGATTAACAAAACATGATTCATGTAACTGACCCCATATTCGGATAAGGCATAGATGATGGTGATGATTATGAATTTATGATTAATACCTAAAGTAATGCCAACTGTGTGATCTTTGACACTCCCTTTAAAGTTATTTTTGGTTGGAATGCGAATTTATTTGCATTGATGCAAAATTATGATAGTGCAAATGATTTTGGTGTGAATTATAATTTTAAAATTTATCTTATTTATTTTATTGCAGTATAAATGAAGCAGTGGTGGAGCCAAGAACTATGTTTTGGGGTGAAGCAAGTTAAAAGAAAAAATAAACAATTTTTTATTTTTTTAATTTTAGGAATTGGAGAAGCATTAGAGAGTAATTCTTAACATTTCAGTTTAAGTTTTTTTTTTTTTTGTTGGGACAAGAGATCACATTTGCGCCTCAAAAAAGATGCCTCACAAACGCCCCATATGTACATCTCAGTGTGTATTGGGAACATTTCCTAAAATTGTCAGTAGGAGATGTTTCCAAAATATGGTTGGAATATGCTGTAGGGCATTTGTGGGGTGCCCTACGGGGGGTGTAGATGTGAATTTGGCCAAGAACCCACGTTACTTGTTTTAACCCTAATCCAAATATACTTAGCTCCACCCCTGAAATGAAATAAAATAAGACCTGAAGAGTTGAATAAAATAAAACTCAAAACAAAATTAAACTAGAATTTGTAGATATCACATCTCCGCCCCACAAGGGGCCACCTCACATCGCCCCACAACACATCCCGTTATGTATTGGGAATATCTCTCGATGATGGCATCATGGGAACTGGTACTATTATTAGGAGATGTTCTCAATACATGGCGAGAATGTTCTCTGGGGCGGAGATGTAAACTCAAATTTATATTGTATTCTTTTCATTTGCACTCCCATGCATTTGTAATAATAAGAATAAAACTGCACTGCAAACAAACAAGCATTAAAGGTTGAGGCTATTGGCAAATTAGTATTGCATCGACCCACACCCAAATTCTAAATTCACTAAAAGCCTAAGGGGATGCCAGCTGTATACTCTATATAGCTCTATCCCCGATGAAGAAATGCTCTTATCTCTGCAACTCGCATGGGCAATATGCTGAAGGTAGAAAAAATCCTGTTTACTTAAAAACCCCACTATTGTCTTGGCCATATGTGGCAGTGGAAGTGACTGAATGCATCCATGCCAATAGTCTTTATCAGAAGAAAAAGGTTTCCCATTTTACCCCTTTCTTCCTATCAAATTTAGAACCAATGCCATTTTCAAGGCTTTCCATGAGCATCCGAAGCAGGTCATCTCTCTCAGGTCTCATCTTATTTCATGAATTGAATCAAGATTGTTTTGATGAAGGAACATGGGGCTTCCGTTTATTCAATAAATATTTGTATTTAATTTGTTTGTACAACGGAAAAAAATAATAATAAAACTGTTTGTACTTAATTTATTTATATAACAGAAAAATATAACAATAAAATTATTTATCGAAAATAAGGCGTCATGACACCACATCAGCATAATAGTAAAAACCGCTATACAGACGCTAAATAAATGGATGAAAATTTCTATACAGAACATAAGGCTAGCTAATTAGAAATAGGCTTCACGAATTATTTTTGTTTTTGATAAATCATCACGAATTATTTTGAAATTTTTGAACACTGCCAAAAGCGAGAACAAAAAACAAAGTTTGGATAATGGAAAGCCCCACGGCTACAAGAAACTACCGTACTGGTCACGTAGAAGATCTGGTTAAGGCTGCAATGGGCCATACCAACCTCATATTACCCTAACTGATCTAATCTTATTATATTGCACTCGGATCTGCTGTTGGCCCAGCTACGTTACCAATCACCATGGTTTTTAAAACTGGATGGTTCACGGTTGGATCGGAAAAACCAGGAATCGGTTAGGTGATCGGTTCTATTTTCTCAAAAACTGAATTTTTCCTTAAAACCGTTAGTTTTAGTCAGTAAACCACTGAACCGGGCAGTTAATTATTCGAATCGTTTGAACGATTTTGATCATTTTTTATTTTTTTGAATTTTTTTATTTTCTTGTCAGAATGAGCCGAGCATTTAATTCGAACAGTTAGACCATTCGACCCGATAACCGGCCCCCTGACAGATTCGTTTTAAAAACCATGCCAATCACGATTGAACACACTGTGTTTCCATTTGGGTCTGGGTCTGTATTCGTATCGTCTCTTATCAGTCGAAGGAATCCAATTAAAAATAGGATTGCTTCTAAGCTTTTCTTGACTCGGCGGGCAGGTCCCTACCTCGCTTGGCACTTTACTTTGTAGCCTCCGAAATAACAATCAATTCGACACATAGATGGCACCAAGAAAAAATGGGTGTGATCAAAACAAAACTAATGCACTAGATTTCATCAGAATTCTAAAGTTAAATGTATTTAAACGAAAAAAATAATAGGATAGATGATCTCTTGGAAAGTCTTCGTATTGTACCCAACTTTTAATGTGGGGCCAAGGTACTCCCGCTTTGTATAAATCCTCTTTTTTATATATAAAAAAAGGAGTTGTTTATTCATTTCAGACCAAGGTGTGAACTGGGCCTGAGTGTTGTCTTAAAAGGTGCTTGGGTCAGCTGGGCTTATATTTAAAACTTTAAGCTTTTTTATCTTTCAGGCTGGATATACACATTCGTATATTATATATGAATATATACATAAATTGTATCTCACATCAACTTCGGCAAAGGAGGTGACCTTGGCTTAAATAGGAGAATGGTCACGAGTCACTAGCTAGCGAAGGCTCCAGATGAGGGGGGTGATCTCTATTTTACGGTGGATGGTTTATGTGTGTCTATGTGACTGGTGCATGTGTATGCATGAAAATATGATATTTATCTATGTTTGTATGTTGGATATGCATATGTGGCAGTGTGCATGTGATGTATCTGTATGTATACAGACATCTTTATTTATGTCCATATGTATGTTCCAGATGTGAGATTGCATGTGCATATATATGTGTCTGTGTGCATGTATTCCACTGAGGGTGTGGGAAGTGCCTAAGTGGTGTTGTTTGTTAATAGCGGATAAGGACTCGTGGGAAGAGGGCAGTGGCAAATGAAGATTGTGACTCCAGGCCTCTAGTAACTGTAGTTGCTTCCTAATAATATGATGCACAAGATCTTGAGGTGTTAGGTACTAGTTTGATTTTCTGATGGGGTA